AGTGATTCATAGAGATTTAAAGACTAGCAACATTCTTCTAGATGAGGAGATGAATCCAAAGATATCAGACTTTGGTTTAGCCAAAATATTTGGGGGAAAAGAAACTGAAGCAAGTACAGAAAGAGTAGTGGGAACCTAGTAAGTTCGACAAGTATATGTAATTTTATATATATTTGTTAATATTTTACACATGTTTTCTACTTGTAACAATGATTTTTGGCAGTGGATATATGGCTCCAGAGTATGCATTGGATGGACTTTTCTCAGTCAAATCTGATGTTTTCAGCTTTGGAGTAATCATTCTGGAGATCCTAAGTGGAAAAAAGAACACAGGATTTTATGAATCCAAACAAATTTCTAGCCTTTTGGGTTATGTATGTTTCTTACGATGCAATTTTGTGCTATGTATGTATGTTTTTGTGAGTTTGTCGACTAACCAATAATTTCTATGGACATCACTTCAGGCATGGAAGTTGTGGACAGAGAATAGGCTTCTGGATTTAATGGATTCATGCATTGGTGAAACCTGCAACGAAAATCAATTCATTAAGTGTGCAATTATTGGGCTATTATGCATTCAAGATGAACCAATCGATCGACCCAGTATGTCAAATGTTTTGTTCATGCTTGACAGAGATACAAAAACCATGCCATTGCCAATTCCCACACAACCAACATTTTTTGTGAACAAGCATTATTCTAGCTCAGCTTCCTCTTCTAGCAAACCAGAGACAAATCTGCAATTTGATACCAGTTATCAACAAGGTCGATAGTGCACGATGGAGCCAACAGTTTTCCATGCTGTTTTTATATTTCATTTTAAACTGCGAGTTTGAATTAGAATGAGTGTTGTATAAATATAAATTTAAACCATTACCTTTTATTCTCTCTTTTTCTCTTTGATTCATACATTTTCATAACTGTTGCATTGCATGTAAAATTAACATTTGATTATTATTCAATTATGAATATTTATTTATAATAAAAAGTATAGGGTTTTGTTACCTCTTCCACTATCTTTGAGGTAAGATTCTTATTGTCCAAACACTTATTTGTTAATCCTAATCAATCACAGCATAAAAATTTAGATTCGATCCAATTAAGCTAACTAAGTAGACAAGAAATATTTATCTCTAAGAATATAAGCTCTCGTATAAATATTTGTCTTTAGTTGGAATGATCACGACTAAAATTCGGCTGAGTCAATTCTAACCAAAAATTGGTTGAAATGGTCATAATCGAAAATCAACCAAATTTATTTGAGACAACTACAATTGAAACTTACTCAAGTTGATTTCTATCCAAATTGACCGAATTAGATCGAGTCAACCCTAATTAAAATCAACGGAATTCGATTGGGATGACCACAAATGATTGAGATAGTCTCAACCGAAAATTGATCAAATTCGATCTAGTTAGTCCCACCTACAAATTTGTTGAATTCGATCAAGTCGAATACAAGTAAATTTTAACCAAAATTCGACTAAATATTTTTTTTAAAATATTTATAAATTGAACAAGTTAATTATGACAAAAGAAAAATTAACTAAATTTGACTGCGTCAACCTTAATTAAAATTTGGCCCTTAATTAAAATTTGGCCCAGTCAACATAATGAAACTAAACTACAATTTAAATAGTCTTAAACAAATAAAAATGTAAAATAAAATAGTTTTAAATTAATAAATAATTAATTATAACATTAAAATTTCAAATTTCTAAAACTAAACTATAGAATAAAACAGTACAATTATAAACTGTTCAATTAATTAATAATTCCGTACACTTAAATTAATTTTTTCGTGTTCTAATCTTACATAAACAGTGGGAGGAAAAAAGGAAACAAATTATTTGTGGGAAAATATCGCTTTCATGTTGTGATGGGTGACTTTGTCCCATGCAAGTCAAAGTCGTCGGAACGCTAGACTGGTCGTTCTCGAAAAACGTCGACATCCACATTTATTTTGCACAACGTACATGTGATCACAAGTCACTAGATTTTTTTTTTTGGGTAATGTTTTAATAACCTTATATTTTTTAAAATACTAAACAAATTTACAATTATAAGACCAAAAAGAGTCACGAGTTTTGACTCCAACATTAAAATTAATCATTTTTTTAAATAGAAGCTTTAAACTAAATGTAATAAAATTTCTAAATATCTTTAATGATATTGACATGTAATAAGAAAAATGTTTTTTTATTTCAAAAGGTCTATCGATTGAGTGTAAACGGTAAATTTTGTTATATTGTATTGTATTTTTGTTATAAAGAAATATCATAATATGCGATTAATCACTAAATTCACTATCAATTTAAGAGTTTATGAATCCAAATTAACAATTAAATTAGTAACAAAATTCAATTAATAACAAAATTAGAAGTAAATCTTTGACACCTTGAAAATGACTTATAAGTGGGTGGTATAAACATATTTTATATACACTTTTAGCTTAGAAATTTTTTTACAAATATTTTTTTACTTCAATGTTTGCCTTTAGATTAATATTGGTACATAAGTTTTAAAAGAGGATTTAGTCATAAATATTCTTAATTATGTGTATTTAGCGATTTGGATTAAGTTTCTTAATCTTGGTAGACAAAGACAAAATTTTGAACAAGAAACTCTTGAAAAATAGAGAATGTGTTTAATGAACCTATCCTTCCAAAGAATCTTTGTAATATTTATTTTAAAGGTCAATCTACTAAAAAATGACCTATTAATCCAAATGAATGTTTCATAATTGCAAATAAGATAATTAATTATTAATTCGCCTAGTGAATATGCATTTGTCGAGCAAACATATTCTATAGAGAAATAATTAACTCAACGACTGCTATGCTTAGAAAATTTGGATATACTGCATGAAATTCTATAAGTTAATTTTTTTTTATTTGAATTTTAATTTATAGGTTAATATTTGATTTTCTATTGTTATAAATGATCAAATTTCAATCTTCTTTTTTACATGTAGTTGGATTTGTTAAATAATTTCAATTACATTATGAATTGAATTTAGGTATTTGATGTTGCTTGTTTAACTCTATATAATCAATAAATGTGTTACATATTTGTAGTATTTTTATGAATCTTTTAACTAAATGGACATATATTAAATATAACCATTTATCTTAATACTCGATCAATCTTTGATTACTTAATTATGTTTATACTTTATTTTTATCAGCAATAACTAATATAAATTAAAAAGGACAATATGATTTACCCAACCATTATACAAAGAACATTTAAGAGGGGAAAAAAAAGTAAAAAAGAAGAGAAAAAGCAAAAGATAAGCACCTCATGTCATGCCCATAAATATTCTTTGTATAGTTCATGCCAAAATTTGAACTGATGTTTACTTAAATAATCCAAAATTTTATAGTTCGCAGTACTCGACAAGTTTGGCAGCCCAAACGATAAACTTTCTAAATAGAATTGTATTTCTCACATAAAACCATTCCGTGTGAGAAAAAATACAATAAGAAACACAAATCCGAAATGAAACAACTATACTCTCTAACTTGTCAACCAAAAAAAGTAATACTATCTAACCTTGAAAAGTTGAGAATTGGTCCAAATTTTTATTTTTTGATATATTTTAATAATGGACAAAATAGACGTTTTTCTATACAATTTTTAATATTAATTTGTTTTGCAATATAAATTAAGAAATGGAAAATGTGATTGCACCGTATGAATTAAATGCTCACTAAGCTTTTAAATTGATAGGTAAGTATTTTTTTTTCCACCTTTCCTTTTTGTGTGGGTGTAAGCAGGACATGCACCTCCCTGACTTATGATTATTATATTTTTTTAGAGTTCTGATATTAGTATTTTAATTAAAGGTTTTGAAATTGAATTTTAATTAAATAAGAGAAAAATTAGTTAGTAATTCATGGATTACATATATATAAGTTGTAATACTTTCAGTTCACAGTTGAATTGTAATCCAACCAGATAACAATTTTATACACACAAAAAAAATTAGTAAAATGTGTTTTTTGTCTTTTAAAAGAACAAATTTTATTGTAATGAAAACCTAAAAATCTGTTTGGGGGAATAATGCTTGAAATAGTAGTTGATGTTATAGCATTTAGTGTCAAAATTTTGAAATAAGCATCAGAAAGACCATAGAAGGTTTGTATTAGCAATGAGAAGTGAAGAGGTTGTGTTGTCCTTCTCCTTTCTTCTTCTTTGCCTGCCAATATGTTTGGGTGGAGATACTCTAAAGGCAAACCAGAGCATAACTCATCACCACTCCAATGGAAACCTTGTTTCATCAAACGCCACATTTGAGCTGGGCTTCTTTTCTCCTGCTGAAAAAAGTGGAGGGAAATACCTGGGGATTTGGTATCACGGCTTGGAACCACAAACAGTGGTGTGGGTTGCCAACAGAGATCATCCTGTTCCCGATTCCACTGGAGTTTTTCGAATTGCGGAGGATGGAAATCTGGTGGTAGAATATGCATTCAGAAGCCTCTGGTCTTCTGGACTTGGAGCATCCTCGTCCTCTAACAGAACACTGCAGCTCCTAGATTCTGGGAATCTAGTACTAAAAGAGGATGACTCTGAAGCGACATACCTGTGGGAAAGCTTCAAGAACCCAACAGACACGTTTCTTCCCGGCATGAAAATGGACGCGACTATGTCGTTGACTTGTTGGAAAGACTCCGCTAACCCAGCACCTGGGAACTTCACCTTCAAGCTGACTCAACAGGCTGAGAAACGGAGCTTCGTTGTGCAATATCATTCAAAAATCCACTGGGCACCTGATGAATTTGACACAGAAGCGGCTTCCCAGGTGGTATTTAATTTGTTGAACAACGACATCTGGAGTACTAAAACGTACAATTATTCTAACAAAACAGTCTTCGTATCACAACCTTACATGTACTATAAATCAAGGCTTTTGATGAATTCTAGAGGGGAGATAGTGTTTTTGGAGTGGGATGAGGCAGAATCAAATTGGACTAAGATATGGTCTGGGCCAGAGAACAAGTGTGACATACCTGATTATTGCGGGAGCTTCGGCCTATGTAACAAAGATAACTTCATTCAGTGCAGATGTTTGCCAGGATTCAGTTCTATTCAAGGTTTTCCTTCTGATCGAGAATCGGAGTCCCAAGGATGTGCGAGAAAATCAACGACGTGTACCAGTACCAACGAGGGCGTGATGTTCCTGAACTTAACCAACATAAAAGTGGCCGACCCAGACGAAGAGATTAATACTGAAACAGAAGGAAAATGCCAATCCATGTGCATCAACATGTGTCCCCAATCACAGTGTCAGGCCTATTCATTTAATAGTACGACATATGGTGATCGTGGTTCATACTCGTGCAATATCTGGAAGCGGCCTTTATCTTCTCTTGTCGAGAACTACCTGCGCGGTCATGATCTTTCTATCATGGTTAAGAAATCAGACATAGGTAATTTATATATACTCTTAATACCATTAGTTGAAACTTCTAGATGATATTCATAGGTCATATTGTATTGACTCATCAGTTAGAAGGATGGATTGAACGGTAAACTGATGAAACATGATTTAAGGCTGAATTAATGTATTGTTGTGTAGCACCAACTGCTAAATCGTGTGAACCTTGCGGCACATATGCTATTCCTTATCCCCTAAGCAATGGGTCAAACTGCGGAGACCCCATGTACAACTACTTCAATTGCAACAAATCCTCCGGCAAAGTTAGTTTCACGATGCCCGGAGGAAAATCATACCAAGTTACTTGGATCGATGAAGATTCCAGAATGTTTTCCATTCAAACAAACTATTTCAATTCATTCAATTACAGTTTCAGCAGTCAAAATAGCACTGATTTTCCGTTTAAGGTTCAGTACAATGAAGATGCCGTAATAAAAATCAATTGGTTACCAGCACCAGAACCCCCCTGTAGTCAGCTTACAGACTGCATGAATTGGCCACATTCAACATGCAGAGCAACAAGGGAAGGTGGAAGTAGGTGCCATTGTGATTCAAACTATAATTGGAATAACACATTAATGAGCTGCACCCAAGGTTAGGATTTATAATCCTATCCACTTTTCTATTTTTCTCCTTTAATACCGAAAAAATATTGCCAGATTAAAATGATTATAATGGTACTTTGGCATTTTGGTAGTACAATTATAATGGTGTTTGCCCTCATACTTTCTGCATTTTTTTTCCTTTCTGCGACAGAAGAGCAATCAGGAAATCACTCAACTCGACTAGAACTGATTCTTTTAGCAACTCTTGGTTCCCTGGCTGCTGTGACATGCATAATAGCATTCGGCATCGTGTGGAGAAAGAAAAAATCCCTTAAACATGGTAATCATTTGTAGTTTTGCACGTTAAATTAAAAATCTTTTATCTTCACACAGATAATGAAATGCTATGTATCTGTTGGTACGGAGTTCAGATCGAGCAAGCTCTCAAATTCAGGAGAGCTTGTATGAGAGTGAAAGACATGTGAAAGGTTTGATTGGCTTAGGAAGTTTAGAAGAAAAAGACATCGAAGGCATTGAAGTTCCCTTTTACACTTTTGCAAGCATTCTCGCAGCTACAGATAGTTTCTCGGATTCTAACAAGCTTGGAAGAGGAGGTTATGGACCTGTTTATAAGGTGATTTGCTCTGTTCATCAAACTTTTTATTACCTATCTTGCATTGAATCCTTGCAAAATATTCTCATGATATAATGTATGGAAACCTTTTTATCCAGGGAACGTTTCCAGGAGGTCAAGAAATAGCTGTAAAGAGACTTTCAAGTGTTTCCACTCAAGGCCTGCAAGAATTCAAAAATGAGGTTATTTTGATTGCCAAACTTCAACATCGGAACCTTGTTAGACTGAGGGGCTACTGCATAAAAGGGGATGAAAAAATCTTACTTTATGAATACATGCCAAATAAGAGCTTGGACTCATTTATATTTGGTGAGACTCCATATTCCTTCACACAACCTATTCTCTAATTATTACAACCATAACTTCGC